CCATTAGACGGAAAGACGTCGTTGTCAGTACAACTGATCGAGTGTTTAATATTATAGTCTACTAATAGAAAATAAAATGCACACATAAAATCACATACTATTCAAGGATATTTGTCAATACCTGCACATATCAAATTTAACTCTACAATATTTATATTGTCTCGACGGACAAATATTCCGATTAGTCGCATGCAAGAAGCGGATGCTTCCTTTCATGTTAGATATCGCAATTTTCTGATGTTGTTAAATCTAGGTGCCATGTAGCGTGATAAAAATAGCTGCAGAACTTTGATCACTTCCCAATTACGAACTCAGGTAAATATGTTTGTTCGCTACAAAATAGGTACACACCATTAATTCTAATATCGTTGGCGTATTACAAAAAAATAACACCTGGACTAACTCGACAGGTCGAATACTGGCAATATATATACTCTTAAATGATTGAGTCTCGATAATACATACAAGAAATAACGTGCAGTATACATACATGTACGATAGTCCAGGATACATACAAATACGACAGTATAGGCTACGTACACGTACTAAAGTGACTGTAATCAGGTATCACAAAAATTATATATATATATATATAAATATCTGCAGAGTCAAATATGACTTCCATAAGTATTGCGTTACATATCCGTTTTATTTCATGCATTTATGTGTTCGTTTCACTTTTGCTATTCAAATAGTCAAACACGGGCTCTGACAATGGTGTATCTCAATCAGATTGTAGATACGTCTATATTATCACCACAGCCAGGACATATACCAAACGTAGAGATGCCCTTCTTGGGTTGCTTGACTGTGGACAGTTGTGGTGTTATGCGGTTGTATGTCTATGGAGTACGTTCAGACACCTGGCTGCTGTAACAACAGCACCAGCGCCTCGTTTCAATTCTAGGACACTCTTCCGACCACGTCCCATAGCATATCCTAAGGTTGCCATGGTGATACCCAAACATATACAATACGCTTGCCTGTGCCTCGTAGTGTACTTGAATGGCTTGGCGACCCTGATGATAGGTCGTACTAGGTAGGTAAGGTGCTGTGAATTTGACAACTTCAATGCATAGATAAGCCATACACTGACCCTAGAGCCCACTGCGTGGTAGTTGGGTGCGGGCTATAGTACTAGTATGTTCCGAACAGTTCTCCTATCCACTTTAGGATGTTAGGACTTGTCAATAGAGGTGTCCTGTTCACTTTGGCATACTAGGACTTGTCAATAGAGCTGTCCTGTCCACTTTCAAATATTAGGACTTGTCCACCGAGCTGTCCTGTCCACTTTAGCATATTAGGGCTTGTCTACAGAGCTACCTACAAAACTATTCAAGGGCATTGACGGAGGATACATCGCAACCGCCGCTATACACTATCGGAGGATTGTGCACTGTCTCTCCTTCGGTTGTTGCTGCACGAGCTTTACCGGTTCTTTCTTATTGGTAGGTACGTCCACGGACGTGCTCTGATTGGCGGCTATTAATAGATTTGGAGTCGGAGGAGTTTGAGATAACGACAGTACAGTACCTACCAGAAGTATGAATCTGAAGATACCATATAGTACACACAGACTAATTAAATTGTGCAGATGCCGGAAAACGAATGCATATACAAGCGCACGCATACACACCGATACACTACCTTGGCTACGCATATTGCAGTTGTATGCACATACACACTTGCACACACACATTTGAACGCGCAACAATCAACGTATAGCATGTACATATATATATATTTTATTAATATATATATATATATATATATATATATATATATATCTGTGTATCACTTACGGTGGTCCTTGAATGAAGGTGAGCTCGGCCTGTGATGTTCCAGCACCAGTCCACCCAACTCTGACATGTCGTTCGTTTGGCAGTACTTGTCGACTAAAGTGGATCTATTGTTGTGTGTACAGCCGAGTTAGATATATAGTATGTGAATACGCTGGAGTGTGGTATGGCATCTGAAGTATTACGTTTAATATACGTTTATATATGCAAGGTCGTGTGGCATGTATGTGCGTATGTAGACCTTTAATGACTATTTACAGTACAGACAAGACATAATAGCAGTTACACGCAAAGTATATGGACTACAGTTAACACAATATAAAAAAACAGCACAAACAAAGGTACACACACACACTACTCTATTCAATATGTTTATCCACGCGTTCAACGGATGTAGACTTCATCCTTCATCGCAGCATGTACTTGAGTGTTTGCGTACCTTTTCCGCAGCACCTGTAGTATGCTGGGCAGATTGTTGTGATTCTCCTTCGCTTCTTGCGCCTGTTCTTCTTCAGCAACGGTCCTGTATTTTAAGGCAGGCTGCAGATAAAAGAAAGTAATGAGTACAGATCAGGAACCGATTGACACTACTGAACTATAAGCACAAACATATATATATATGTCCATCCATACATACGTTCTCAAGGATTTCTGAATTGAAGGGCGTTGTCGGGGGTTCGAGGTCACGTTTTGCGGCGTGAAACTTGTCTTCACAGATCAGTTGCGACTGCCTCAGAGTGCCATCCAAACGCGTTAACACGTCAATGTCTGAAGTGTCTGTGCCCCAGGGGTCCACATGGGCAAATGCACTAGCGGGAAGAAGGAAGACCAGTAGATTGATAGATAAGAGGACAAACAAACAAACAGACAAACCCCTAAAAATGGACAAATGAATGGACAAATGGACAAACAGACAAACCCTATCCTAGAACGAACTGATAGAAGTTTAATTATATAAGTGTATTGTGGATATGGGTTGCGGATAATTGCATATATACACTGAACAAGTGTGTAGTCGTATCCTGAAGTCCACATATCTGCACACAGCAATCGTCACATGGATCGTAGTGATACCACAGATTGGTAGCGCTGTGTGCAGGAGGACGCGCCCAGACACCGTACGACAGCATGTTGATGCATACACGCTTAGTTGGGTCTTATCTTGTGGGGTCATATAAGCACCCCAGTGTTTGGCTCTAGTGGGTTGCACAACTGAGCACATATAAACTAAAACAAAGAAAACATGCTGATACATACACGTTTAATTGGGTCTTATCTTGTGGAGCCATATAAGCATCACAGTGTTTGTCTCTAGTGGGTTGCACAATTGAGCATATATAAGCTTTGCGTTAGTCAGGGTAAGAACTGGAAGCGACACGTTTTATGTTAACACAAAAGAATCATCACCAAAGCGCTTGGGGGTGGTGTGGTGATATAGTCACACCATACACACGTACAGCCTCGAACATACACTGATTAAAGGGAAGCTACCAGGATGTATATAGCACTGACTAAGCGAAAGTGACGCATGCATTTACCAGGACGGTCTATACCACTGATTAAGAGCTGATTAAGAGTAAACTACACCCGCATTAAACTGGATAGTATATGTGGTGATATAGTCACACCATACACACGTACAGCATCGGACATATACTGATTTAATGAAAGTCACACCTGCAGTTTAAAAGATTAGTATATATCACTGACTTAGACTAAGCTACACCGGCGCTTAACTGAATATTATGTGGTGATATAGTCACACCATACACACGTACAGCATCGAACATACACTGATTATAGAAAAGTCGCACCTGTAGTTAACATGATGGTATATCGCTGATTAAAAGTGAGATACATCTCCATTTAACAGGACGACATATATGCCAGCTGCAGATTGTATCAGTGTTTGGATACTGAAAACTGTGGCAATGTATAACTGGATCATAGAGTATGCATGTATCACAGATATACAAACATCATAAAACAGACATATACCATAGCGTATATGAGTAGCATAATATATATATCATAAAATAGACATATACTATAGCGTATATGAGTATCATATAATAACACATGTACAACTAGTTATACATATACATGCAATATAAAAGAACAAACAAGTCCCATACACTAAGCGTTCATTGCAAGACGCGCCCATCAACAATACATAATACATACGTTGCGATGAGCCCCATATACGAGAACAGCACTACGAAGTAGCACAGGAACGACAGCCACACTCGTGAGTTGCGCTCGGGCAGATACGGTGTGCTGTAGGCCAAAAGGAGCAACCACGAGTACAGAGTTACCACCAGGAAATGGTAGTAACTCAGGGGCGGTGGTAGTTTCTGTGGGAGAGAGAGAGAGAGAGAGAGAGAGAGGCCCGACAGGATGAGCTGGTAGGGCTGACGGGTCGTTCAATGTAGTGTCATGGAGTTGTTGTGGAAGTTCGGTACAGTCTCACAAGGTTAACTATCAATACAGAGTGTGTGTCTGAGCATGGTTTGGCTCAGCAGTCGTGGAAAATCGTCTTATTGTCAGGCAAGTGATATACAAACTCATGTAGTGTTGCATAGCCTGGAACGCCGGATACCAGTCAAACACCTTCCGTTTACGTACAATCGGGGGTTCGCTATGAAATGGCGGTATACTCATCACGCTCTCTCAATGCGTTACGAGAACGGGGGCGGCTGTACAGCACCCACCAAATAACATCTGCCTTCCCACGCTTGTATGTGTACGTCATACAGAAGTGGGATTAGTCTAATTATTATTGTCATTAAAGTTATAAATAGTTTAAATTAATACAGAAGCATATCTTATCGAGCTAGATTAAAGAAGCAGCACAAAATCTATCACCACCACACCACCCTCTACCACGCACGTCGTATATAGAACACACACACACAGTGCACAAACAACACCCCAACTAACACCACGCACACACAGGAACAAACCTGCAGCTCCTGCAGTTTAGAGGCCTTGCCACGGATAATGAAGATCATCTCCATGGTTTCCTGCGCGTCTACACCGCAGTTGTCATCCGCTGCCATCTGCTCATGCCTCGCCATTTCCAGCGTGTCTAGCAGCCAGGACGCGATCAGGTTGGTCTTTTTGCCTCGAAAGTTCTGTACATGTGTGTGGGATATAGGCAGAGTCGAGGCTTATATAAGAGTGTATACAGATATGAAGCGTCGGATATATTTATACGCCATTTCCTTGTGCCAACATCACAAATCAGGCAACCACCACCAGACCATCCCACTCTGGGGCACATGCTCACCCTGATGAGCTGCCCCTCCTCGTCGGTGATCATATTCTTATGAACGAGATAGTCAATATTGTCCACCTTGCTAATAGAATAGAAGCACTGATGGGTGAGTGCATTCCCATACCGGGCCATTTGCATAGCTCGAGCGTTTGCCTTGGGTCCCCTGAACGTGGCGACGCACAGGCTGGTGATATTGATCACGGTACCTCCCATACTAATCATCAGAAAGAGCTGTAAAGTACCGAGAATTAGCGAATTAAACGATCCATCACTACCACGAGTCAAGGACTATCGACCACAGCCCAATGTCAAAACCAAGACTCAATTCGTGAAGAAAACCAACTTTTCTCGTCATCGTTGTGTTAGATATATCTTCGAGATACAACCGGCATTGCAGTGGATTTGAGGTCAAAATGAATCTTTCATATATATATATATAACTAGATATCACAATCCCTCCTAACAGACAACACTGTACTCTGCAACCCCGCCTATACCATACGTATGATATGTAATTATGTAACAATGTATATCCCTGTACCCAAATCTATAAGATCTATCCATGAATATAATAAAATCTAATAAATGAAATAAAATCCAATATAATGGACATCACATATATAGCAAGGTTAATTGGAAGCGATTTTCTGGGATAACTGTGTATTCGAGGAGTGATACCTGCACCAAATATATATATAAAATTACATATATATAAGTGTGGGTGTATTTGATTTGTATTTATATTATATATATATATATATGTATATATATATATGTATATGTAAATATATATATATATATATATGTGTGTGTGTGTGTGTATA